AAGAGAATCAATGAATAAATGGGACCTCCTGAAACTGAGAAGCTTCTGTAAAGCAAAGGACACCGTCAGTAAGACAAAAAGGCTACCTTCTGACTGGGAGAAGATCTTCACCAACCCCTCATCAGACAAAGGCCTGATCTCCAAAATCTACAAAGAACTCAAGAAACTAGATACTAAAACTCTAATTAACCCAATTAAAAAATGGGGTGCTGATCTGAACAGAGAATACTCAAGAGAAGAACTTCGAATGGCCAAAAGACACTCAAGGTCATGCTCAACATCCTTAGCGATCAGGGAAATGCAAATCAAAACAACTATGAGATACCATTTTACACCGTTCAGATTAGCTAAAGTCAAAAACACCAATGATAGCCTATGCTGGAGAGGATGTGGAGAGAGGGGAACTCTCATCCATTGTTGGTGGGAATGCAAACTTGTGCAGCCACTGTGGAAATCAGTGTGGCGGTTTCTCAGGAAACTGGGAGTCAACCTCCCTCAAGACCCAGCAATTCCACTCTTGGGAATATACCCAAGAGATGCCCTATCATACCACAAAAGCATTTGTTCAACTATGGTCATAGCAGCACTATTTGTAGTAGCCAGAACCTGGAAACAACCTAGGTGCCCCTCAATAGAAGAATGGTTAAAGAAGGTGTGGAACATATATACATTAGAGTTTTACTCAGCAGTAAAAAACAATGACATCTTGAATTTTGCATGCAAATGGATGGTCATAGAAAACGCTTACTGAGTGAGGTTAGCCAGACCCAAAAAGAGGAATATGGTATGTATTCACTCATAAGTGGATTCTAGCCATAATTAAAGGTCTTTGAGCCTATTATTCATGATCCTAGAGAAGCTAAATAAGAAGGTGAACCTGAAGAAAATCATGTAGTTATCCTCTTGGAGATTGGAAATAGACAAGAGTGCCAGAACCTTCATCTGGCAATGGATGGAGATAGAGACAGAGACCCACATTGGAACACTGGACTTAACTCCCTATGTCCAAACGAGAAGCAGAAGGAAAGAGAACTTGAGCAAAGAAGGCAAGACCAGAGGGAACCTTCATCCGACGATGGATGACGATACAGACGGAGACCCACATTGGAGCATTGGTCTGACCCCCCCACAAGGTCCAAATGAGGAGCAGAAGGAGGAAGAACATGAAAAAGGAAATCAGGACCGCGAGGTTTGCGATACAAGGGGACTGATCTAATGAGAGTTCACCAAGGCCAGTTGGACTGGGATTGAATGAGCACGTGATCCAACCAGATTCTCTGAATGTGGCCAGATTCTCTGAATGTGGCTGGCCCGGAGTCTTTCTGAAAAGCCATTGACAATGACACTGGGACTTGTTTCCTCTGCATATACTGGATTTTTGGGACCCACTCTGTTTGGATACTCACCTTCCTGGACCTGGAGGGAGGGGGGAGGATTTGAACTTCCCACAGGGAAGACCCTGACTGCTCTTAGGGATGGAGAAGGAGGAGGAGAGGGAGTGGGGGGAGTGGGAGGGTATTGGGAGGAGGGGAGGAAATGGAAACTATTATAATTTAATAAACTTTGAAAAAAAAAGAATTGAAATCTTTAGCACTCTAAAAAAAAAGATTCCTCTTTGTAGTCAGTGTTGTATTTGAATGTGTTGTCATTTTTTCTGTGGTTAAGTAGTTAAGCTGTTCCTAGGTATGGGGTATTAAGAATAATATATTCTTAATATATTAATAATATTCATGAATATTATGATGCCAATGTTCAAGTGAACACATCCATTCATTTGGATCATTTTTAGTGTGAAATTTTTAAAAGTTATTTATTATATGTTTAAGATTATAACATAATTATATGATCTCTTTCTTCCCTTTTCTTTCTCCAAATACTTTATTCTTTTTTCTCCAAATACTTTAAAGTACCCCCGTTGCCCTTTATCACGTTCACAGCCTCAATTTTTCATGAATTATTGATTCATATGCATATGTTGTACCATATATATATCCCTAAATATATAAGACAAAGGGCTTAGTCTTTATAAAGTTGCTTATATGTATGTTTTCAAGAATGATAATCATCTGGTGTTGTATAGCCAATTGTTCGGCTCTTCTTTGGGAAGATGTTTTCTCTTATTCTCCGTGTTCCTTCGTTGCCTATGGTTCTTTGTGTAGGGTTGGTGTCTCTTCAGTATGTCTATTGCCATTGTCCTTTCTCAGCTCAGAAATAACTTTTATTTCTTTTGTATCTGGTAAGAGCTCATTTGTGGTATAGACCGTATTCCATTTTAGATAAGGTTCTATGTGTGTGTTTCTGTTGGAAGAAATACCCTCTAGCTATCTCTTAAGACAGTTTTATCTACAGTGTAATTTTATTCTTTCTTTTCTTTTGATTTTCACTGTGAAGGAGCTTTCTAGCGATGTCAGCCACTTACTTAAATCACCCTGTATTACCTGAAAAACTCCTTTGACATTTTATCTTTATTATTGTTGATTACGTGAAATTAGAAGGCCTGAAATTGGTCTGAGTCATATTTAGATACAATTGTCCTAATTGAGTGGTTGTTCTCTTTATTAATTTACAATTACTTTTTTAAAGTTACTTTCAACTATTTTGGACTTGAAATCTACTTTTTCAGGTACCAGGGTAGTTAAACCTGTTTGTTTTTAATTTAATTTTGCTTGAAGGTTGCTTATTTTCTCTCCAACAACTCTCAGTCTGTGGGTGCCCTTGTCTGTAAGGTATATCTCTTAGAAACTATACTTTAGTCTATGTTTCTTCATCTAGTCTATGTCCTCTCTCTCTCTCTCTCTCTCTCTCTCTCTCTCTCTCTCTCTCTCTCTCTCTCTGTGTGTGTGTGTGTGTGTGTGTGTGTGTGTGTGTGTGTGTGTGTGTAAGTGTGTATGTTGGAGCCATTGACATTAAAAACTGATATTAAACAATCCACACCAATTCGTATAATTTTGACAGTGTTTTTCTGGTCGGTTAAATTTGTATTTATTCTTTGTTTTCATCTCTGTTACTGTTACAATTTGACTTGTTAATTCTCTTAATCAAAACAGATTCCTGCAGAGTTCTCACTAATTCAGCCACTCTATGTACTTCAGTCTGTCCTTTGTCCGCATGATTTACATTTCTCTTGATCCTCTTCTGTGTATAATACTGTTTCAATCACCTTCTCCTTGCTGGTTTAGTGTACTAGGGTACAAAAAGGTTCCAGAGAGAATGTATCTGAAGCACAATTACTACTCCTTCAGAAGTTCCCTTTCCTTTTGCGACCTTCTGTTTCTATAATCCAAATCTCTGTAATGGACCCAAACTGGATTTTTTCTCACTTATCCTTTTTCCACAGCACTTTCTCTTCAAGTTCAGAGAAACTCTCATTAAAATTTGATGAATTGATTACCATATTTCATAGACAAAAAGAGCACAAAGAATTTAATCTGTTGCACTTAATTGTATTTTATGCTCCTTGTTTTAACTCTTAATTGTGGTAGTTATAAGTCCAGTAACTACTTTGCTTTCCTCCTAGTAAGCAGAACCTAGAAAGTCAATAAAATTCAGCAAGTTCCCAATCAACTTATAGATTATGTAGCAGGCAGGGGAAATATTAGAAAGAATAGAGAGGCAGTAAAGAGTGATAATAAATATTCTTGACATAAAAAATTAAGTGATACACTTTGATAGTCACTACAAACACATGTCCATTAATTTTCACAATGGCCCCTACATATAAAATAATGAAACATGATGTCTGAAACCTGATACAAAATTATTGAAGTAAATGTAGACAGCAATTCACCAGACCTCTGTGCTGTGCTTTTTATGTCATTCCATTTGGTGTGCAGAGAGAGTGACATTGCACTGGTAAAGAGTACAAAGTTAATATTACTTAATAATATTAAACACTAATATAATTTAATAATATGAATAATATTAAATACATATATGTTTTATCATTATCAGTAATATTGCTAGTAGCATTAAATATTGGAATACTTGAATATTATTAAAATATTAAATTTATTAAAATTATTAAAACTATTATCAAACCAAAAGGTAGCAGAAGTAGCAACTAGACATTTGCCTCATTTTAAGTGTTGTTGATATTACACTGTTTCCCACTAAATATTATTGAAACTTTATTCATCATCCACTTTACTTCAGTAAAAATTTCTATCTCACCATATGGAAATTAAACTACATTGGAGACACCCGCATACACAGCAACCCACAGAGTACACATTAGCAGTAATCTTCCTGAGAAAAATAAATCCTGAAAAAGGTTTACAAAGAAGCCTAAGTCTGTAATCAAGTATCAGAGCTCCAAGGATGTGACATTTCAGCATTACTTTCATGAAATGAAGAACAGGGATCATGTTCGATTCAGAGATACATTCTAGTCACCATGAATACCAACTGCTTAGACCTGGAAAAGATATGATTGGAGGGTGTAGAGAAACATGGATAATGATGAAGGCTTGAAGGGTTCCATCTCTGTAGGGCTTACAGGTACAATACACAATGTCCAAATATGAGTGCAGTGGATGGTTTCACAAGGAGTGAAGTCATGTGATAAAATTGGTAAATGTTCTCTTTGGGATCTATTTGCAAAATGATATGAGAAAGCATAAATAGTAGAATAAAAAAATGAATAACATGCCAGAATTAATATAGGAGAGATGATAGTGTAGACCAGGGAGCAAGGAGCTGGACTGGTGAAAACTGGCCTGGTTCTTCATATATTTTCCACATCACAGAGAAACACCTGTATGTGCAGTGGGAACAGGAAAACCAGAAACCAAGATGGTCCCAAAGTTCCACTAAAAGAAATAGAGAGAAGGACAAGATTGTTCAGAAATATAGAAAAATTACTCTACTCTGTCTCTAAGATTTTCTTATTTTTCTTTATAAGCTCTACAATGTCTTTCCATCCATAATGAAATATCTTCCTGGATCACATCAAACAGTTTTCAGAAACTGGGAAAAACTGAAACTGTTTGTGTCCCACATGATGCACAGTCACCAGAAAGATTGGAATCCTGCTGAACCAAGAGACTTCATTGATGCTTTTCTCACAGAAATGTCAAAGGTGAGGAAAATGCTGCCTGGGTCTTCTTAGAAAAAATATGGTGGTTTAGTAGTTTCTATTTGATCTTGTGTCGTGTTGCCATATGATTAAGGGTATAACATTGTACTGACTCGGTACTAAATGAATCCCTATTCCTAATAGCCTGGTGATCTTCTTCTGAGGATTACAGAGACTCCAACACCAGAGAGACTCCAGTATCAAAGTCTCAGAGGGCACTGATATCCCTTGCTGTGGATCCCTCCTTTCTCCATTTTCAGTGTCAAGCTTGTAGCATCTTTCCTCTCTTATTGTCTGTTTCCATCTTTACATCTCCTTTCTCTGGTTCTTATGCTCAACCCTCCTTTAAAAAGGATGATTCAGTCTATTATGCCTCTCTCAAATTGATCACATCTGCAAAGCCTATCTTAGCTTATCAAGTACCATATACATGTTATAAAATGAAGATCTGGGCATCTTTGTAGGTCAATAATTAGCATGCCGTATGAATATAAATTATGAATAGTATTTTAGAAATTCATGAGAGCATTATGCCAGGAATATTATTAGAAATAAAAATTTCAAAGTCCAGAGGGTTAACCATTATAGCAGGGATCTGGCACAGTTTCACAAATCCTACTAGGAAACTCATACAGATGTTAAACACCTACAGTGAAGTTGATGGATAGAAAATAAACCCAAGAAAATCAGTAGCCCTTTTGATATACAAATGAAAAGTTGTCTGAGAAAGAAGTCATGGAAAAATAGCTACAAATAATACAAACTATCTGGGGTAACTCTAACAAAGCAAGTAAAAAAAAACCTGTATGACAAGAACTTCAAGTCTTTGAAAAAAATTGAAGAAGATATCAGAAGATGGAAAGATCTCTCATGTTCACAGATTGGTAGGATCAACATAGTAAAAATGACTGTCATGCTAGCAAATCTACAGATTCAATGCAATTCCCATCAAAATCCCAACACAATTCTTTACAGACTTTTGAAGAACCATACTCAGCTTTATATGGAAAAACAAAAAATTCAAGAAAGCTAAAACAATTCTGCAGAATAAAAGAACATTTAGAAGTATCACTATTTCTGATTTCAAGCTCTACTATAGAACTATAGTAATAAAAATTACACAATATTGATATAAAAAGACAGGTTAAACAATGAAGTCAAATTGAAGAGCCAGACATAAATCCACACACCCATGGACACCTAATTTTTTTTTTACAAAGAAGGCAGAATTATACAATGGAAAAAAGAAAGCATGATCCATAAATGGTGCTGCTCTAAGTGAATATCAGCATGTAGAAGAATGCAAATAGATCCAATTCTATTACCCTGCATAAAATTCAAGTACAAGTGAATCAAAGACCTCAACATATAAATCACTGAACCTAATAGAAGAGAAAATAGGGAATAATCTTGAACTCACTGACAACTCTTCTGAACCAAAAGTGCAGACACTAAGGTCAACAATTAATAAATGGGAGCCCATGAAACTGAAAAGTTTATGTAAGGCAAATGACACCCTCAATAGGACAAAATGACAGCCTACAGAATGGAGAAAGTGTTCATCAATTCTTCATATGACAAAGGGCTAATTTCCAAAAATATATAAAGAACTTAAAAACTAAATGTCAACAATCAAATAATCCAATCTTTAAAATTGGGTGCAGATCTAAACAGAAAATTCTCAACATAAGAATCTCAAATGGCCAAGAATCATTTAAGGAAATGTTCGACATCCTTAGTCATCAGGGAAATCTTAATCAAAATGACTCTAAGATATTGTAAAAGGAGTGATGAGCCACTTCCCACCTCCTGGCTCTCAGCTAGCTTTACCTGAAATAATTACATGGAAACTGTATTCATTTAGACACTGCCTGGCCCATTAGTTTTAGCCTCTTATTGGATAACTCTCACATATTGATTTAACCCATTTTAAATAATCTGTATCTCCACTTGATTATGGCTTACCCGTGTGAGTCTAACCAGTGTCTGTCTCGAAGAGTAGAGCCATGGCGTCTTCCTGACTCTGCTTTCTTTCTCCCGGCATTCTGTTCAGTCTACTCAACCTATCTAAATTCTGCCCTATCAAAAAGCCAAGGCAGTTTCTTTATTTGACCAATGAAAGCAACACATAGAAAGAAGATCCTCCTACACCACTAAGATTCTATCTTATAACTATCAGAATGGCTAGGATCAAAAATATAAGTGACAGTTCATGCAGGAGAGGATGTAGAGAAAGAGAAATACTCCTCCCTTAATGGTGGGAGTGCAAACTTGTGCAGCCACTTTGGAAATCAATATAGTAGTTTCTCAGAAATTTAGAATTGTCTTACCTCAAGAACCAACTATACTACTCTCTGGTATATACCAAAAGGATGCTCTATCCTATCAAAAGGACACTTGTTCAACTATGTTCATAGCATAGCAGTTTTATTTGTAAAAGCCAGAAACTGGAAACAACAAGATACCCTTCAACCAAAGAATGGAGAAAGAAAATGTGGTACATTTACACAATGAAGTATTACTCAGTTATTAAAATAAATAACATCATGAAATCTGAAGATAAATGGATGGAACTAGAAAAACTCATTCTGAGTGAGGAAACCTAGACCCAAAAAGAGAAACATGGTATGTATTCACTCATAAGTGGATATTCACTGTAAAGAATTTTGCAATCCACAGACCCTGAGAGGTTAAGCAATAAGGAGAGCCCAAGGGGAAGCATGGATCTTTCTGAGGAGGGGAAATAGAATATGTGTCACAGGTAGACTGGTGACAGGTGGGGATGGGAAAAAGAGGGATTGGTGTGGGGAGGATGGAGAGAGTGCTGGGAAAGACAACTGGAACTGGGAGGCATTTCAGGGATGAGATAGAAACCTACTACAATGGAAACTTCCAGGAATTTTTGAGGGTGCCATACCAAAGACTCCTAGCAATGAGAGATAAGTATCTTGAATGGGCCATCTCATGTAACCAGACAAGACTTCCAGTGGTTGGATTGAGACACCAACCCTCAACACAAAATCCTAGACCTACAATTTGTCCTACCTGCAAGATGTGCTGAGTAAAAGTGGTACAAAAATTGTGGGTGTGACTAACCAGTGACTGGTCAGAGACGGAACCCACACATGACACTGCCTGGAGGGCCAGGGACAAGAGGCTGGATAAATCAAAAACACAGAATAGAATCAAACACCAAAAAAAATCAAAACCAGAAAAAATATCAATGAAGTGATTTCTAATGGTCTTCTGCTATATTCGAAGATAAGAGCCTAGCAAAATCATCATCAGAGAGGCTTCATCCAGCAACTGATGGAAATAGATGCAGGACTCACATGCAAAGATTAGGTGGAGCTCAGGAAATCTTGTTGGAGATGTAGAGGAAGCTTCCAAAGGACCTAAAGACACCAAAAGAGAACCCACATAATCAACTAATGTGGCCTCAGAAGACCCCAGAGAGACCAAATAACAGGGAGCCTATTGGGGTGTGACCAGGTCCTCTGCATATATGTTATGTTTCATGTAGCTCAGTCTTCTTGTGGGACACCTAGCAGTGGGAGCAGGAACTGTCTCTGACTTTTTGCCTACTTGTTGAACCCTTTCCTCTTACTGGGTTGCCTTGTGCAGTTTTAATATGAAGAGAGGTGCATACCCTTGTAACAACTTTATATGCCATTTTTGGCTGATATCCCTTTGAGGCCTGTCCACTCCTTTAGGGGGAGGAAGAGGGGTGAATAGGATAGGACGTGGGAGAGTTTCTGGAAAGGAAGAAGGGAGCGGAAACTTCAGTCGGGATATAATATATGGAAGAAGAAGAAATAAAATTTTAATAAAAAGCAAATAAGGAATCCACTGCTGTTTGGCATGAAACCCTGAAAATGGCAGATATTGGCCCTTTATGCACCTCCTTGGCCTTTGCCCTTAGATAATAAATAATAAAAGTTTCAATTAAACTTCATAGCTCCAGTTTTTGATGAGCTGGTCTACAGCCAGTCATCCACTCCATCTCAGTCTCCACTGCAGAACACAGGCAAAGTTTAACTGAATACCAGAGTTCAACTTCAAAGTCTGGGTGGGGCCTCTATCTTCTTCTGATCCCATTTCAAGACTCCAATCACACAGAAATCTAGAAAGCAGCTGATTGCATGTATGAGTTGCTTCTGCATCACTGTGAAAATACAGAAACAACTTAAGAGAGTAAAGATTTATTCAGTTTTACAATTTCAAAGGCTTTTGACCATTATTACAAAGAAGGAATGCCAGAGCAGCTTAGCTCATGGTGGCAAAGGAGTGTGGGGGAGTCTGCACATCATTATCTACCAGGAAGCAGAAACAAGGGCAGAGTGCAGGGCCTTGTTAAAACCTTGATTCTGTCCCCAGTGATGGACCCTACCTCTTAATTCCCTTGAACCTCAAAATTAATCATAACAACTAGGAACCAAGCATTCAAAGCATGAGCCCTTAGGGGATGATTTACATTCAGACCATAACATTAACTGTACAGCTATAATCTCAGTAGGCCTCTGGCTAGTACAAATCACTGCATACGCCATAGAATCTTTGACTCAATGGATTCCAGTTTCTTCCTCTGACCAAGTGTACAATGGTAAATGGCTTCCTACCTTCTCTTTTAATTCATCTTCCTGGCATAATATCAATAGAAACAACAATATAACCCTAGATAAGGAGAAAAATTATTTACCATATGGAGTGCAGGTGTGAGACCATCAGCATTAAGAACAATATTAACAAACTGAAGCTTCCAGAGAAAGTTAGTATAGAAAATATGGCATTCTGAAGGACAACTGATAGGACCTGAGAGATTTTGACAATGAAAGATTAAAGGAGGAAAAGCACAACCAATGAACATGGAGAGTTTATTTTATTATTTCTGCAGTGATTAAAAGTATTTGTTGCTATATTCCCATTTCATTTCCCATACTTTATCATGATTAAAATGTGTTTTGCATTATTCAGGATTTTCTAAAGGAAAAAAACCGGTAGGCAGTTTTCTCTTAATATACAGACATTGTTTAAGTAAGTATACCACAGCCTGTAAGATATTCAAATATGTGTGTGTGTTATCACATGCATGCACACACACACACATATATACATATATATATACACACACATATATATGTATGTTTATGTGTGTATGCGTGTGTGTGTGTGTGTGTGTGTGTGTGTGTGTGTGTGTGTGTGTGTGACTTATTAGAGTGACTTAAAGTGTGTGGTCTAGCAAGTCCAACAATGGCTGTTTACCAACAGAAAGTATGAGTTTCTTACAGTAGTTCTGTTCACAAGACTGGATTCTCAGCGGATCATCAGGATATGCCAGAATCCCAAAGAAGAAGGCTCTAAGGCCAGTGAAAGCATTGACTTTCCAGCGAGTTTAAGGACAAGCAAGTGAACGGGAAACACTTCCTTTTTCTTTGCCCTCTATATAGGCTGCCACCAGAACGGGTTGCTGATTTAAGGTGGACCTTCCCACCTCAAAATAGCTGGCTAAATGGGGGTCTTTCCACTTTAAAAGATTGAATTATAGATTCCTCACAGGGGCACCCAGTCACTTGGGTTTTAGCTAATTCCAGATGTAGTCAGGCTGACCCCAAGAATAACCATCACAAGTGTTAGTCTCATGTCATGAAACTGAAGCAGAGAAATGTAAAGTAATATAAAGAACATTCTCGTCCATGTCATGACTTGGTCATGTACCTGATACATGAATCCAAATGCTCCTTTATTTCCAACTATCTAACATTTTACTAAAAGTTTTTTTTCAAAAGGGTAGTCATTAAAAAACTATTGTCTTGGTTTTTATCCACTCAAATGTTTTTGATAGACTGTTCTCATTGGAAGGACAACAGTACAACCCAATGAGGTGTAAGGGAATATCATTCTGAAAGATTCCTTTCAAATTTGTTTCCTAGTTTCATGACTCTGTTCTTCAGATAATCACAAATCCCCTAACTAAAAAAAAGATACACACTGATTTTTCTAGTGCCAAGACAAGACTACTACAAGTTTCAATGAAGAAAACCTCATCTGCAGCACTCTGGACCTCTTCTTTGCTGGAACAGAGACAACATCCACGACCCTGCGCTGGGCTCTGCTCTACATGGCTGTAGACTCAGTTGTGCAAGGTGAGCATACACTCAATGTACCTGGGCAAGGCACAATGTTGCTTCTGGAAGCTGTTGCTTAGCTAGGCAGGAAGCTAGAATCCTGGAATGAACACATGGAACAGCTGTGAAGAGAGGTGTTCTTGGGAAAGGATCTTTATACATTTTTCAGGATTATGATAATTCACAGGGATAGACTTTAGAGTCTATGCCTTGAAGACTCTTCAGTTCTAGTTGAAAATAGATAAGTGATCAGTCAATGAGGTAGGTTTCAGCAAGAAGCAACACTGTCTGATAAAAATCCACTTAGTTCCTCCTTCCTTTTCAGCAGTGTCTTCCTATTTTGTCCTGAATACCATCTAGATGTCGGATACCTGATGTCCTGTTGATGTTATCTCTGTCTGTCCAGACTGAACCACACACACTGCATGGTGTCTCTCTGCATTACATTTTCTCCATTGGCATTGTTCTTGTTTTTGCCTATAAGCAGGGTGATGGACTTTCTCCCTAACAAAAGTGAACTATCTCAGTTTTTGAGCTTTCAGAAGAATGTTCTCAGACAATACCTCTTTAAATTGTTTATATTCTACTAAGAATTGACTGCCTGGCAAATTGCCACCTTTCACTCCATTAAGAGATGACTATGCCCCCATTAAAGGGTTTTGCATGTTTATAACTCACCAAAGATGTTCATCCCTTCAGAAATAGTGGCCCATCCCATCATTTTTATTCCTCCAGATTATAGAAGAGTTAGTTCATCAGGTATGATATAAGAATGTCTTCATTATTGTGTAGGTTCTCTAGGATTGTGATTTGTGGACTGATTTCCTTGCTTTATGTTTAAAAAACCACTTATGAATGAGTACATATGATAATTTTCTTTCTGGGTCTGGGTTATCTCACTCAAAATGATGTCTTCTAGTTCCATTCATTTGCCTACAAAATTCAAGATGCTGTTATTTTTTTCTGCTGTGTAGCACTCCATTGTGTAAATGTACCACATTTTCTTTAGCCATTTTTCCTTATCCATTTTCAGCATTTATGAGGACTCTAAAAGAGACATATATAAATCTAATCTACATGGGAAGTACAAAAAGACAAGATCTCCTGAGTAAATTAAGATATGGGGACCTTGGGAGAGGGTTGAAAGGGGAGGGGAGAAGCAGGGAGGGGAGCAGAGAAAAATGTAGAGCGCAATAAAAATCAACAACAAAAAACCTCTAACATTAGCAGGAGGTTAGTCCATGGATGGATTTTATTGGAGGGTGGGTTCAAGTTGGAAGAGGTAGGTCACTGAAGTGTCTTTGAAGAATATACTTGTCCCCAGCTTATTTTCCATCTGGGTCCTGGCTGCACTCCAGTGTTGCTCTCCCTGAGTAATGTTCTGCCTTGTCATAGGCCAGACACAGAAGTACCAAAATCCTGAAACTTCTGAACTCGAGCTGAAATAAATATTTTTTCCCTTAAAAAAAGAATGTTTTCACGTCATGAAACATTTTTAAAATGTGATAAGAGTTTATGGGTGAAAAATGCAGTCACTGTAGCACATTCAAGACAACTATTTTTGGCCAAAGGTGAAGGGTAGTGATAAAATTGTTTTCATATAGTGAAGAAAAATTGGTCATTTCTTGGGCTCCCTACACTTCTTTTAGATGGGATCATTCTCTGTCCTTGAACTCACCATGTATACAAGACTGTCAGGTCAGTAGGCACAGAAATCAATCTGTCTCTGCCACCTCCATACTCTAGGATTAGAAGTGCATGTCACTATATCCAAATATTTTTCCTGAATTCTGAGAATCAAACTCAGACCCTTATGTTAGTATGGCTATCAATTCACTGAGACTTCTTCCTAATCAAATTTTTTCATATACAAAATGTAGATTATTTTTCTATATTTATTCATAGGTATATTTCCTACATTTCTACTCTTATATATGGTAGAGTTTATTTTGACCAATAGTGTCTATGACTATGCAGGAAGTATGGCAGTGGGAAGCCTGAGCAGGAACTGAGACATCACATCTCAACTGCAAACGAAAGCAAAGGAAAACCAGACGCAGAGCCATGAGAAAAACCCTCAAATTCATCCCCTGTGACATTCTTCCTCCAGTGAGGCTCTGTCTCAGAAAAGTTCAATGACTTCCTAAATTACACCACCATCTAGGAATAAGTGTTTAAAACCTAGAGCTTTTGCAGCACATTTAATCTTCCTCATTTGCACCTTTAGCTCCTTTAGGTGCATGGCTATGCTATGATGCAAAATACATTTGGTATAAGTTTGGAAGTCCCTAGAGTCTTCAGCAGTCTCAATACTGTTCAAAAATCCAGTGTCTTCTGAGGTTCCAGGCAATCTCTTAACTTTGGCTCACTAAGATCCCCCCAAATTTATATAGGTCTAGCATACAGTGGCAGATAATATATATTCCCATTTATTCCAGCAGTGAAGAATGGAGGTATAGCAAGGAAATAGAAGCAAAGAAAGGCTGAAACCTAAAAAATCAAATACCAAATCCTGTAAGCCTTTGGCTCATGTCTAGAAATTTATTTTCATGGACTAAAAGGGTTCCAACCCTGTACCTTTGCTGCCTGCAACATAAATCTTTCCCTAGGACTTTTTATATGCAGCCTCCTTTGCAGGGGTCTCCTTCTCCAACGTCTTGGGTATTCTATTTCAACCCAGTCTCCACTTCAAAAAATTTCTGCAATGGGTTTTATAGCCTTCTAATGAAAACTCTACGGCTAGAATTTACCTTGGCTCAGTAGCTCTTTGAATCTCCAAAGAAAGAATCATCACGCCCCCTTTCACTGTTGCATCTCCCATATCCCCAGAGCATGAGGATGGCACTGGAAAGTTCAGCTACCATATTGTGATGACCTTTGGCCCCTTTCAATCACATATGCAATGGCTTTTGTTTTTCAAAGGCAGGAGATTTGTCTCTGTGGACCTTCTCTTTCCACAATTTAGAAGCTTTTCTGGGTGGGGTCTTCATGTTAGGGGATCTTTTCCATTTTTCAGAGAACAATAGGCCTCTCCTTAATTTCAGTAAATGCTTTAACCATGACTGGCATTTGTCCACTATGGGCTTAGGGGAAAACAGTAAGCTTTTTATTTCTCTTTTTCTTTCCAAAGTATATGTTTTTAATTTTATTCTACATATTTGATATTTTTAGTTTTAGAAGTAATGGTAAGGAGTAATTGCCATGCCACAGCGTCAATGTTATGCTTTTTTTTCTTTTCTTTTTTATTAATTTATAAAAGTTTCCACTTCCGCCCCTCCTCCCAACACCCTCCCACTCCCTCCACTCCCTCTCCTCCTCCCTCTCCAGCCCTAAGAGTACTCAGGGTTTCCTGCCCTGTGGGAAGTTCAAGTTCCTCCCCCCTCCCTCCAGGTCTAGTAAGGTGAGCATCCAAACAGACTAGGATCCCAAAAATTCAGTACATGCAGAGGGAAAAGAGTCCCAGTGCCATTATCAATGGCTTCTCAGACAGTCCCCGTGCCAGCCACATTCAGAGAATCCGGTCACATTCAGAGAATCTGGTTGGATGACTTGCTCGTTCAGTCCCAGTCCAGCTGGCCTGAGTGAACTCTTATTAGATCAGTCCCCTTGTATCAGTGGGTGAACGCACTCCTCATGGTCCTGTCTTTCGTGTTCATGTTCTCCCTCCTTTTGCTCCTCATTTGGACCTTGGGGGCTCAGTCCAGTGCTCCAATGTGGGTCTCTGTCTCAATCTCCGTCTATCGTCGCATAAGGGTTCCCTCTGATCCTGCCTTCCTTGCTCACGTTCTCCCTCCTTCTGCTTCTCATTTGGATCTAGGGAGTTAATCCAGTGTTCCAACATGGGTCTCTTTCTCTATCTCCATCCATCGCCAGATGAAGGTTCTAAGGTGATATGCAAAATATTCATCAGTATGATTATGGGCCAAGGCCAGTTCAGGCAACCTCTCCTCTGCTGTCCAGGGAACAATCTGGGGATCTCTCCTTGGACCTGGGAACCCCTCTAGAATCAAGTCTCTGTAAACCTTAAAATGGCTCCCTTAGTTGAGATATATACTTCCCTGCTCACATATCCATCCTTCTTCCCTCCCCCTTTCTTCCCTCCCCCTCATTGAAATCCCCCAAGCTCCCCCCAACCCTCCCATACTCCCTTCTCTCTCCCCCTCCCCCCTCCCCCCCCCCCCCCCCCCCGTGCACCCAAGGTTGCCTGGAACTCTTGTCTACTTCCAATATCCAGGAGAATAACTACATAACTTTCTTCAGGTTCACCTTCTTATTTAGCTTCTCTAGGATCACGAATAATAGGCTCAAAGACCTTTAATTAAGGCTAGAATCCACTTATGAGTGAACACATACCATATTCCTCTTTTTGGGTCTGGGTTACCTCACTCAGTAAAGCGTTTTCTATGACCATCCATTTGCATGCAAAATTCAAGATGTCATTGGTTTTTACCGCTGAGTAAAACTCTAATGTGTATATGTTCCACACCTTCTTTAACCATTCTTCTATTGAAGGGCACCTAGGTTGTTTCCAGGTTCTGGCTATTACAAATAGCGCAGCTATGAACATAGTTGAACAAATGCTTTTGTAGTATGATAGGGCATCTCTTGGGTATATTCCCAGGACTGGAATTGCTGGGTTCTGAGGGAGGTTGACTCCCAGTTTCCTGAGAAACCACCACACTGATTTCCACAGTGACTGCACAAGTTTACATTCCCACCCACAATGGATGAGTGTTCCCCTCACTCCGCATCCTCCCAGGATAGGCTATCATTGGTGTTTTTGACTTTAGCTAATCTGACCGGTGTAAAATGATATCTCATAGTTGTTTTGATTTGTATTTCCCTGATCGCTAAGGATGTTGAGCATGACCTTAAGTGTCTTTTGGCCATTCGAAGTTCTTCTGTTTGGAATTCTCTGTTCAGATCAGTTCCCCATTTTTAATTGGGTTAATTAGAGTTTTAGTATCTAGTTTCTTGAGTTCTTTGTATATTTTGAAGATCAGACCTTTGTGTGATGA